TTTGATCTCCAGCACCCCCCCCCCCACACACACACATACATACACACACACACACAAAGACTATGACAACATACTCAAAAAATGTAATGATGCCGGGTACTGGAGGCTCACGCCTGTAATCCTAGCTACTCAGGAGCCTGAGATCTGAGGATTACAGTTCAAAGCCAGCCTGGGCAAGAAAGTCCAGGAGACTCTTATCTCTAATTAGCCACCAGAAAACCAAAAGTGGCACTGTGAAGCGCTAGCTTTGAGCTGATGAGCTCAGGAACAGTGCTCAGGCCCAGAATTCAAGCCCTACAACTGACAAAAAAAAATTAGGGCTGGGAAGGTGGCTCAGTGGTAAAGTGCTTGCCTTGCATGCATGAGGCCCTGGGTTCGATTCTTCAGTACCACAAAAGCAGAAAAAGCTAGAAATGGTGCTGTTGCTCAAGTGGTAGAGTGCTAGCCTTGAGCTGAAGAGCTGAGGGACAGCTTCCAGGCCCAGAGTTCAGGCCCCACACTCGACAAAAAAAAAAAAATGTAATGAATAATGACAATGAAGACAGTGATGGCAAATTCTTCCTATGGAGCAGTATACTTACTGAAAAAAAAATGTTTTTCAGGCCACAAGATACAAAGTCTAAATTAAAGAAATATAGAAACTATTTGACACAAAACTATTTGTATAGCAATAGTAGTATAATCTTGCATACTATCTATATCCATTTGCATAATTTTAAGTGATAGCTTACTGAGTTTGTAGAAGTACGTTCTTCTTAATATGAAAATATGTTATACTACTGGGTGTGGTGGCACATTCTTGGGATCACAATACCTAAGATGCTGAAGGAGGAGAATCATGAGTTCAAATTCAGCCTGGGCTACAGAGCAAGTGTCTTAATAAAAATGCCATTTTTATCAGTATGAATAACCCTTCTAACCTAAAACTGTTATGTTCTCTTGCTGCTAGCTCTTCCGCATATCCCACCTAATCAACACTACCTACAAAAAGCTCTTTCACATATTTGTAATATCCAAATTTGGCATCACTTCAGCTGTAAAGAAATCATGTACCTGAAAAAGTAAAACAAACTTAAAAGTAAAACAAATCACGTACCTGAAAAAGTAAGACAAACTTAAGTAGAAATGTTCTTCCTTATATAAAACCCTCAATACTAAGACTATTTCTGTCAACAGCTAGCCCCAGCACCACCCAGTTTCACTCTGGAGAAGGTCACTAATATCTTCAGCACTGAGCAGATCCCATTCATATTTTTGAGATGATTGGAACTTTCATCTAAGATAGTTATGTGTGAAGCAGGAAAAGAAAATCACTGGTCTTAACAGTAGCACAATATTTTAATGAGAGGAAAATGGGATATAAGATGTACATTAAAAGTTATATCAGATCCAGGCACCAGTGGCTCACCCCTGTAATCCAGCTACTAAAGGGGTTGGGATATGAGGAACATGGTTCAAAAGCAGCCAGGGCAGAAATGTCTGTGAAACTTAACTCCAATTAACTAACAAAATCAACCAGAAGTAGAGCCGTGGCTCAGGTTGTAGAGTGCTAGCCTTGAGCACAAAACTCAAGGAGTTCAAGTCCCAGGACCAGCACACAAACACAAACTTAGATGGAAGTAAAAAATATTCCTTGGTACACATTTTAATAGTCCAAGAGAACAATCTTGCTCATAAATTCTGTCAATCATAAAAAGAAGTCTCATTTTTAATATAAATTGATCTACACCAGTATAGTCAGTAATGTGGCATACACAATTATTAGTGACAAGGCCAAATGAAAAAAAAGACAAATATTTAATGAAACATTGAAAATCTTTGCCCTTGGGCCAAATGCCAAGAGCAACGAGTACCAAGATGTTGTTTTTTTTTTTAAGAAACAATTTTCAATAGCTCCACTGTTTTTTCAAACAGCCTGTAGTCCTGACCAGCCAAACCTTACTCCCTCTGTACCAAAAAAGCAATTTAAATCACTTATCTGTTTGGATGATAGCATGCATAGTTTAAAGTATTTGACATGTATGCTTTTTTTTTTTCAGTAGATTTGGTGCAGTAAGTATGCTGTGCTTATTTAAGAGTTCTTATTGCTTGAGTACATACTTTCTGAACAACAGAAAGAGGACAAAGAGATCTGGGGCATGATGAGTATTATAGCAAAGGTAGACAACAAACTTTAAAATTGACCCAGATAAGCTACAACATAGCAGCTGTATATAAAGAATAGTCACTTGACCATGTGAAGGCCTAAACCATGGTGTCATATTTTTTAAACCACTCATTATGATCACTCCTATATAACACTTAGTTTGTCACCATCCATTTGTTCTTTGGAGGATTATGTGAAATAAAGGATTATGGGCTCCAAGCTAGAACATTTTGTGACATAGCAATTCATTCATTCCTTTACATCTGCCTTTCATGGGTCAGAACAACAGTGGGGATCCTTTTTTGAAGACATATACTAAGAAAGTAATTCTACCTTCCCAAACCCAAGTGGAATTTTTTGCTCTGTCATTTCACATGCTCATCTTTACCCCTTGTAATAAAAAAAATCTTTGTCCTTTGAAAAAGCAAACTTCTTTTAAACAGGTGGTCTGAAAATTCTAGGTTGTTCAAGTGCCTTTGTGAATTAAAAAACAAACTGTAAACAATCAATCCAAAGCAAAAACAAGAACAATAAAGACCTAAAAGGCCTGAAGCTTGAGGCCATCAGCTTTCACCTGACACTAGTGTTAGTATTTGCATAGCAAGGATGTCTTGAGGGCAACTCAGGTCAAAGGCTTTAGTGCATAGAAGTGAAGGTAGGTTTATATAGCTTAAGGAATAAGAAAAGGAGAACTTTACGCCAGCGCTTCACACTATGATAGAAGGTTAAATTTAGAAGTGCTAAAATATTAAAGTTGAGGTAACGTTTAAAGTGTTTGTGTGCTCAGTACAAGTAGGGAAAAGGCTAGCCAGCGGGCAGGGAAATACCCCAGAGCAAAGGAAGGCAGGAAAAAATTTTAAATATCCATCAGGCTCTAATGAGGCAGTAATATATGCCTCCAACCGAGACTCTGACTCTTCCTTAGCCTCAGCTCCAGAAAAGCTATTTCTAAATACTTTAAATTCACCCTTGCACCAACATTGTAAATAATGTTTCTTCCCAAACAAGTAAAAACAAATTTGAATTCCCAAGCCTTCAGGTAAAGGGACCAGAGGTGGTTTCGGTGTGAGAATGCTGAGATTGGGCGGGGGTGGGGAAGATGTTAGAACTTACCGCAGCCTCTGCCGGCTGTCCCCAAAGACTCAGGGCCAGTAAGAACAAGCCGGCAGCTAGGTTGACTCCACGCAGTTTCATACTTCTCCGCCTCCCGCAGTTGCTTCAGCACCCGCACGAAGTCCCCAACTGGCTCTCGCCAACTGACATAATCTTGAGGGTTTATTGGGAGAGAGCTAGAGCCAGAGAGCGACAAGCAGGGGTGTCCCAATTGTGCAGGTCCACTTGAGTAAAGAGAAAGAAGTTTTTTAAGTGTACAGAGATTTGGAGAGAGGGGAGAAAAGGAAGGAAAAGAAGCTGCTCTTCCCTTCCCCCCTCCCCTCCCCGAAGCAGGGTTAAACAGGAGCACTTTTCTCTGGCGTTTAGACTTGCGAACTTTTTCAGTGCTCTGCCCCACAGATCTACTTCCCTCGCTCGACCCCCCTCCCCCGCACAGCCCTGGGGAATTTGAGTATCACTCCGCCACCGCTGAGGGAGGACTCTGCAACCTGCAAGGGACTAAAGCTCAGTTATTTGGGGGAGGGAAACTTCTAGGGCAGTTGACTGGAAACTATCAGTTCAACCAGGAAACTTTTCTTATTCGTTCTTATACCTTCCGTGCATAATACTCGTCTCAGTCTAGTCCCACGCTCATTAGTGTGAATATTAAAGCCAGTTATAAATAAACCTGGGATGGGACTATTTTTTAGCGGATGGATCTCAGACAGGCTGAGCGTTTTATTGTTAATCATTAGAAACAAATTTTGGTCGCTGTTCTTTGTGCTGCTAGTCTTTTCCTTCAGGTTGTTTACAGGACATTTTCATTGTAGAGGCATGAAGATAAATGTATATTTATAAAGCAAGTAAGAACATGGACATATATCTGAGTGAGAAGATTTCATGTCTGGAGGGACATAAGTACTTCAGTAAACATTATATAGCTGAATATTTTATAATACATTCATATTTTTATTCATCTATGTTGAAGGTTATAATAAATATATGCGTGTATACTGACCTAATATAAAATATATTGATGCTCATAGGTGTGTTTTGGTAGGATTTATAGCAGGAAATTAACTTTTCCACACTTTTCTTAGAAGGAACATAAACACCTAATTGGAAATACATATGTAAAGTTAAAAGTAGTTGATTCATTATCTCCTGAATAAAGTACACTTGAACTTTACTTTGAAATTTCTGATCGATTATTACAGTAGCAAAAGATCCAGAAAATAACTTTGTGGAGACTTCTTGGAGAGTCTTTTAAGACATTGGGCAAATAATTATTCAGAGCATTTCTATTATCTCAATACCTGGGATTAACCACTTTAAAGTTTTTCTGTGTTTTTGGATGTGATATGGGTGCATTCATCCTGAGGTTCCACTGAGCTTAAAATAAGCAGATTTACAACTCCAGAGACCCCTGCCACTGACGCAAGTGCTTAATGTGCGATTTGAATAGTGTTGTATGCTTTGGGGCTTGTGTTTAAGGGAACTTTAGGGCTATTTGTGTGTGCACTAGTATGCCTAGTTATTCATGTGTGACTTCACAAAAAGATTTTGGGAAGAGTGATGCTTACTGGCTTGGATCCTAGTGTACAAGTCTCTAGAGGCCTGAGCTTAAAGCTGTTAAACACTTGGAAATAGTTGTGCGGTAGAAGTGCCCAAAAGACACCCGCTGCCCAAAGGTAGGGAGGGGTGATTGACAGCAACCAGCCCCTCCCCTTTCCCCCTCCATTCCTTCCTCTCCTGGCGCATGGAACTATCTCCTGAGTGCAGCAAGTTGTAGCGGCACTGCAGAGCGTGTTTCCCTTTGGGACACTTCTTATCTAGAAGCTCACTTTGGTTTCTTCTAAACTAAGCCACTTCTCCCTTTTACCCTGTCCTGAACAAGGAAACAGCCGCCAAGCATCAGGGGAGTCCCTATGAGCCAGCGCCGAGGAGCCGCTTAGCAGTCTCCCCGGACCCAGCTCTGGAGGAGCCGCAAGCATGCACCCAGGGTGAGCTGACACTGCTTGGAGCCCCCCTTCTCCTTCCTATTTTGTGCTGCTTTTTCTGACCGGGGCTATACTTGTACTTCTGTCATTCCATAGAAAGTGGGAGCAAGCACCTAAAAGGAGTTGGGAGTGCTATTTACAGACACGGGATCCTAAAATCTCGAAAGCCCATGTTACTTACCCTCCTTCTCTTTGCAGGTTCTGGCTGCTCCTAGTTTCCTTGTGTCTGAGCAAAGAATTGGCAAAAGCAGTAAGTCTTCTTCTGACCCTGTCCCTCCCCCCTTTGAGCCTCCCTTCCCCGTTCTCCACCTCTTGTGTATGTGTTGGGGGTTTGCATACTGAGTGTTGCACCAAAGGAAATTCATGCTACTCTCCTTTCTAATGGGAATATAGTTTATGGAGAGGAACAGCAATCACCATAGGCAATGTCCTTGGGACACAGGCATCTTCCTGAACTCCTCAGTGCGTTGGGAAAATAAAAGTAGAAACACAATATCCACACATTTCTGTTCCCGAGAATTTAGGATTACTTCTGATTACTTGCATCTGATGATTTCCTCTGCATCGATCTGCAAAGCAAAAGAAATACAATTTTTCCCTAGTCTACAAAAATATGAATTGACACATAAGCTAGGAGTGGGAGGTGAGTACCAAGGAGTGCCATAAAATTTATGGAAATTGAACTTAAGGTTTGCTTGCAAGTGCTTCCAAATGTTCCAGGAACCACAGATGATGTTCAATTCCTATATGATGCTTCCTTTTACTCATGTTTTTACACCATCAATAGGTAAAAATTGAAGTGTTTAAGTATATAATAAATCTTACAACTTAACATTTCAACAACTGTTTAGATATATCCATCAAATCATCTAGAGATTGTGGGCAAAGGAATTTTTATAGACAAATGTTCAAGAATAGCTTAATGGATCTCAGAAAGTGAAAAAAAAAAACCAATGGAATTACCAGGGTAATGTCACAAAAGTGGAGTGTGTCAAATAATTCAAATAATCAGAGATACTGATACTATGGGTTTCCAGGGCATTGGCTATTTACTATTGTAGAAATAGTTTGACTGTTGAGTTCAAATGTGATATTTTTCAAATATTCAGAACTGTTTCACAGATCTTCTTTTAAATAACAACCAAAGTTATTTACTATATAGATGGCAGATAAATAAATGAAATATTTTTCTTATTGCTTTTGATCATTTTAACTGATTGTCATTTTCAATATTTAAGTACTAATTTTGAGCCATAATTCAACTTTTTACAATCACATACTACACTTATGTAAAATGTGTAGATTTATTCTGCATATGATATCATTCAAAAATAAAATAGTGAGGTGCAATGTTTTCTCTTAGAAAGAAAGGATAATGCCAGAAAATTTGAATTCTAAAATTTTGGAACCCTTTAATTAGAACATCAGCTCTTACTTAAGTTTATTCAATGTGGTAAAAAATAAATATTGAGCTAAAGCTCTCTGCACTTTCCATCTGATTCTTCCAGGATGCAACTTTAGATACGAGTTACCTTGAGGGTCAATCTACATTTATTGAAAATGTCAGGGTTTGATTAATTAACAATTTATCCACGAATTTTGCCACTTGTAAAAATGTCATGCTTGGGCAGAATACCTTCAGGCTCCAGCTGATCTTACTCTATGTACTTTGGGGAAAACACTGTAGATCATTCTAGAGAGCTAAAGATTCCCAAACGCTATCACTGAAAGTAACAGAGGATGATAGTTTCAAGTCTTTTAAGTACTGAAGTGGGTCTCCCAAATAAAGCACTAGTTTTGTATGTGGAGTCTGCTTTTATCCCATTCTTCTACAACATCATCTGCTATATCAGTCTGAGTGACTATAGTCAGACTAAAGTCTTGAGATTCACTGATAATACCTTGTTTTTATCCTTATTTGAATCCATTGAATCCAGAACGGCTTTCTTCATTGTGTTTTACTTATGCACAGCATTGTTAATCTGTATTTTTAGTTTTGGAGAAAATGGTAAAGAGAAGAGAAAATCATAAGATAAGGTCTCAGAAGATGTTACTTCTTTTTGTTTTAGATTGAGTTGTGGGTTTTTTTCTTATGGTCTGCACTGGATTCTCCCAGTCTCAATTCCAGTTTATTCTCTAAGCTTGTACTATTTTTCCTCTTTCATTTAAATTCTCTGCACTTTGGTAGAAAAATATTAATAAAAATAACTTGTAATTAGATTGACAGCAGTTCTGTTACATTTCATTATGAGAAGGTCTTTTTACTATCAGACTCAGGTTTCCAATAATACAACAGTGTTGGTAAACATTTTAAAGCTACAGTTAGGTGTTTTTGAGGTATTTCTCAGAATTTAAAAAACAATTCTCTGTAAAATAATGGAAAGATAAGTATTAAGAGTAAGGATTGGGGGTGGGGGGGTTAGCCCAGAGGAAGGGTGCCCGCCCAGCACGCACAAGGCCCTGGGTTCGGTCTCAGTCCTGCAAAAAAAAATGTAAGGATTTAATTAAGCGTTTCCATTAAATTAAAATTTAAGAATGAACTACATTCAGGTGAAGCATTTACACAATTCATCAGAATGAGATAGAGCCTAGAATGTCAGAATATTAGGAAATTTCTTTTGTTAAGTGCTTGGCTATATTTTGTTAGGTGCTTAAGAGGCTATATTATACTAGGCACAGAAAGATAAACATTTATTTGAAGATAACTTCAAATTCTTTATCGCATTTTTATAGGAATTTTCTTTTTCAGATAATAGTGGTCATCAACTTCCATAAAATATATGCTACTTGATATTTTTTCTATCTCTATACCAGTAGTGGGTTTTGAACTTAGGGCTTTGCACTGGTTAGGCAGGTAATCTACCACTTGAGCCAAACCTTCAGCCCTCTGCTTGATATTCTTCAATTCAAATGATAAATTATCTTCATGAACTTGCATTCTGTTAGAACAAAGACTAGAAACATACAAATTTTCACCATAAGCCATCGTGTTGAGAAGATAAACTATATCCTAAATTAGTCATAGTCCCTATGTGTTCTTCTCATTTTTCCATATTCAAATGTGTCTCCATGAAAGACTCTAATACAGCCAAATATACTGAAAGCCAAAAGCCCAGTAGGAAATTTATTTAGGTGTAGAGGAGAGTAGTAAAGGGTGAAATCATGTCTATTAGGCACATTGGAGTCAAGGTTTGAAATACAAACCTTTTTCTTTTTCTTTTTTTAATGGTCATAGGGCTTGAACTCTGGGCCTGGGCTCTGTCCCTCAGCTCTTCAGTTCAAAGCAAGTGCTCTACCACTTGAGCCACAGCACCACTTCCAGTTTTCTGGTAGTTTATTAGAGATAAAGAGTCTCATGGACTTTCCTGCCTGGGCTGGATTTGAACTGCAATCCTCAGATCTCAGCCTCCTGAGTAGCTAGGATTACAGGCATGAGCCACTGGCGCCTAGCTCCAACCTTTTTCTTGAAAGTTGTAACATCCAATTTGCTTCTTTCCACTCTAATGTTCTCAGGCATTTTAGGAGTCATCAAACTATGAATATCTTTTTAAGAGAGTTCAGCATTGGAGAAAACCCCTTCATACTTTTAAAATGAAGAGGAGAATTTGCAACCCTGAGCACCAATGACTGACTCCTATAATCCTAGGTATTTGGGAAACTGATTAAGGAAGACTGTGGTTTTAGGCCAGCCTAGCCCAAATGTTCATGAGATTCCCATCTCAACCAATAGCTCTGTGCTGGTTTGCATCTGTCATCTCAGCTATAGTAGGAAGAGTAAAAAGATCATGGTTCAGGCCAGCCTGAGCAAAAAGCAATCCCTTATCACAAAAAACAGACTAAAAAAGACTAGAGGTATGGACCAAATGGTACAGCACCAGTCTAGCAAATGTGAAGCCCTGAGTTCAATTCCTAGTACCACCAGAGAGAAACAGAGACAGAGACAGAGACACAGAGACATCGGGGAAGTATTTCTGAATTGTTAGTCCACTTTGCTTGCTAGTTATGAATGATTACAAGGTGCATCATGTATATATGTGTTTATTTGAACAGAGAATAATCTGGGCTGAGGATATTTACATAGATAATACATGGACAGTAATATATTTTCATTACTACTGACAGATTAAAATAAACATGCTTTAAAACAGGAACAGAAATAATAATAGATAGCATGTCATTGACCTAGTTACTTTATTTATATAATGATACGGATTGACCTCAATTACCAATACATGTTGATCATTGCTTGTTTGAATCATGTAGCTTTAAATTGTATATACTTAAATAGTTTGAATTATATTGCTTATTTGAATTGCCCTATAGTTTTGCCTCTATATGTGGAATATTGACTGTTGAGTTGTCCTTTAGTAAATGGAAGATAAGACACATATGTGTAGAAAGAACGTATTTAGAAATTACTAGATAACGTTAAACCTTCTGCTTGTCCTAGTGAGATAGATTCTAAGGGTTTTACTGGTTTTAGAGTCTAATGAAATGCAAATAGAAGACATGATGAACATACCCAAGAGAAAATGATGAAGGAAAAATTAACTAGGAGAAATTACATATTGTCTTCACTTCTTTAATCTATTCTTCTCCTAAGGTTCCTATTTTTCTTCTACAAGCAGTATTGGAATCTCTTCCATTATAAAAATAAATTCAGTGAGCCAGACGCTGGTGGCTCACGCCTGTAATCCTAGCTGCTCAGGAGGCTGAGATCTGAGGATCGCGGTTCAAAGCCAGCCCGGGCAGGAGAGACTGTGAGACTCCTATCTCCAATAAACCACCAGAAAACCAGAAGTGGCCCTGTAGCTCAAGTGGTAGAGCGCTCGCCTTGAGCTGAAGAGCTGAGGGACAGCGCCCAGGCCCAGAGTTCAAGCCCCATGACCGACAAAAAAAAAATAATAATAAAAATAAATAAATAAATAAATTCAGTGGAGCAAGGATAAAGATCTGAGTTCAAACTCCAGTATCATCAAAAATAAAATAAAAGCAAAACCAAAACAAAACCCAAAATAAAATACAGAGTTTAATTTTCTTAAGTAATTCTAACATGTTCAATGCTATCACTGATAATTTTCCATAACTGTCTACTCTTCTTTAACATCCATTTATCCTTTAATCTATTATAGTGTAAAGTGAGCCTATTCCATCAAAATTACTCATTCAAATGGCTGCTTCATTATCAAGCCAAATGGGTTCTTTACAGGTTCCTTTCTGATTTTCCTGCTGTTTCATGTGTTGTTTTCC